CAAGATCACTCCTCCTACCTCGGCGCAGGTATGCAACTAACGATGAGATGTCAAAACCGTACCAAAACACTGCGAGGCCCTGAGACAGGGATGCCTTTAAGTTGCAGCCTATTCCTGCTGTGCATAGAACCTACGCTGCAATAAATCCGCGATAGCGTCCGCATTAGAGGCTTGACGTTTGAAAGAACAAAAATAAAAGTATCTGCGTAGGCGGATGACACCTTGATATTGATAAATAGTGAAGCAGAACCACTGAGAGAGTCAATAAGCCTGTTAACTCAATTTTGCGGTGGTGTCTGACCTGCGGCGTTGCCAAAATGGAGCGTTTAAAGGGAATGTTCCACATTTGAAGATTTTGAGATAAGCATCGGATATGATGCTAAGGGTTACTTGTGACCACCAGACTCCATTGTGGCCTTTATTGGGCCCACTCTGGTCTTAAAATGACCCATTCTGGACCTATAGATGGCCCATTGTGAACCTGTAGAAGGCCTGTTGCTGGACCTATTACTGCTGAAAACCCTGGCAGACAGATGTCCTGGCCCCTCGCTCATGCAGGTACGGCGGTCCGGGCATGGCGTCCGAAATGCAGCAAGCCGGCGCCAGGTCCTGCCGTCTCCGCCCTCCCCAACCGACCACCGTGTCGATGTGGCCGAGCGTTGTGAGTGCCGTCTGTGGCACGCGGGTGACCGGCGCCGGCTGGCCTGACGGCGTCGGCGTCCCCCGGCGGGGTATGATGGAGAACCGGGGCGACGCGGCGGCTGCGGACCTGGGCGGCATGGCGCTGGGCTGCTCGTCGGGCGGCACGCGCCGCGTCGGCCAGCGCTCCATATCCAGGCTGGTGCTGCTGGCTACGCGTGAGAGCCAGGACACCGAGCTACTGATGGCCGGCGGCGACCGGCCCGGCAGGTGAGCGGGCCACGGACAGGGCTCACGCACGGGTCAGGTCAGCGGGGCAGGGGAGGACGGAGGTCAGGTCAGCGGGGAGAGACAGGAGCAGCGGCGGGCGGAGGTTAGGCCAAAGCAGAAGCCACGTCGCATGGGTGCAGGTAGCGAGAGCGGGACGTTGACGGCGGCGTCCACTCCTACGATGGCGGCAGTGCGTCGGCCGCCGCCGCGCTCTGACCCTAAAACCTCCGTGTCGAGAGGCTCGAACGGTTACACGCCGCCGTCACCGATGGCAGGACGCTGCCGGTGAAGCCACTTCCCAAACGGCGACGCTCGGCCCGATATGTTGGCGTCGGTGCCCGGCCGACGCCGTGCTTACCCGCACCCTCTGCCCCCGCTGCCGACGCCAGGAAGGACACGCACAACTACCACGAGCAGCTGCACATCGTGCCGTTCACGGTGCTGGCGCGCCTGGTGAACCCGGAGGAGAGCGCCGCCGGCAGCCCGGCCGACGGCGAGGGCCCCATGGAGGTGGACGAACAGTACATGCCGATCAGCCCGCGGCTGGCGCAGACGGCGCGGGACAAGCTCGCCAGGTGAGGCCCCCGCTCGGACGCCCGAGCTCTGGCAGAGTACTGCGGGCCGGCGGACTGGGCGCTGTGGCTGGTGTTGTTAGCTGTCCAGGGCTGCGGAGGGGGCGTGTCTGGGCCGGCTGGCGGAGGCTTGCTGTCTCCTGCTGTACTCACTGAGAGTCGAGGACGAGCCGCGTCACTCGTGTTGCGTCTCGCGCAGACCGCACACTCACTTATTTGGAGTGGGTCATGCCGGGCTGTAGGGCTCCGTCAGTTGTTCCGCGATAGCAATGAACAGCGATGTATTTTCGCAAAATGGGTGGGGGGCTGGTCAATGAAAAATAACGCATTTCCCTAAGATGTGCCAACGAACAGGGTTTTCCTTGGCTTTTACTAATTCTCTGCTGTCGGAGGAGGTGCCGGACGCGGCGGCCGTGCTGGAGCGGCTGCGGGCCGAGGCTGCCCTCACCGACCGGGACGTCTCTCACGTGAAGCAGCTGATCTCGATACTGGAGGACGCCGGCGAGCTGGGCATGGGGCCGGCGCAGCTGCTGGTGCAGAGTCGTGCCTGAGTCCGAGGTGTACCAGACCCCTCTCTGACCCCCGTTCTGTCTCGAGTGACGGTGTGAGTTCCGTGACTGTAGTGCGCGCGCGGGCGCCGGGCCCTCTGACGCACCGCTGCGCCGGCCGGGCAGGAGAGCGGCCTGGCACGGCCCGAGCTGCGGCGTCTGGTGGCGCTGATGGTGCAGCACGAGCTGCTGCTGCGCGGCGGCGTCACGCGCCTGCTGTACGTGGCGCGCTCGCTCGGCCAGCGCTGGGTACTGCACTCGTACCACCTGACATGCCTGCAGCAGGAGTCGGCCGCCAGCGGCCTGGCCGCGGTCGGCGGCGACCTAGCCTCTTCCAGCCGCAGGTAGGTGGCGGCTTGCTGTGCTGCGGTGGTTGCTGCTCCCCGTGGAGGACACTGTGGGAAGGGTGTGGTTTAGTCGCGTGGGCCTGTCAGGTCCTGTGAATACGTGCCATATGGTGCCCGTTCTGGCGTTACACGTTCTGAGGCAGCTCCGGCATGCCTCTGCCAAAGAGGTAGTGGTGGTGAGCTCGCTGGTGTCAGGCTGATAGCGCTTGAAAATGAGGTGTTTGGCACATCCGTGCAAGATTTGTTCAAAGTTTCTTTTTGAACTCAACTTCATTGGAATTTATGGTGTCATGTATAGCGTTAGGAAAGGTGACGGGACTTGGAGTGAAGTGATAAGCGTGGTATAATTATCCAATCTTGCGTCCACATTCGTCAAAAATGGTTTAGAACCTTCGTTATGGGAATCCCAACAATGGGATGAACACGATTGGCGGTGAATAGCGAGGCTCCCCCGCCGGTGTCCGTTCCGCTCACGAGGAGGTATGTAGGCTTGCTTTTGGATTGTGGGGATTGCTATAGAACGCGCCGCTCACGTTATTGGGGAGTGCAGAAACTGTCGAGGCCAACATTGTAAGGAAACGTGATATTTGAACGCAGTTGTCAGCGTTAGCACTGAGCCCATTTCCGCTTCGCTACGTATCCAACGTTAGCGAGTGCTTACGAGTGTTTCAGCGCCATATGGCCACCCTCTGACAGCCGCCACGTCTGAGCCCAGCAGGGGACATGCAGCCGGTGTTCTTCCAGACGGCGCCATGGCGACGCGTCGGCCGGCTCCGTGAACCGGCGCGTGCTGGACCGGCTCTCCGACGCCGTGCTCAGCCACTGCATGACGTGGCCTGCCTGCCCGCTCGCCGCCGTCCAGAGCCACTTCCACCCCATGCTGACGGCAGTGCAGACGCGCCAATTGCTGGAAGGGTCCGTGCGGCCTTGCTGTCGCTCCGTGTGTCGTCTGCCTCCACCCCGACCCCAGGCTCTCAGCAACCTGCGCAGCCTAGGCGCGGCCGGTCTTTCGTTCGTTGGAGGCGCGGTCGCGCAGTGTGCTACGTGTCAAGGGTGCAGCTCACGCGGTAGGCGGGGAAGGCTGCCGTCTGAGCAATGTCTGTTCCCCATCCGGCGGCGCTGGGACGCGGCCATCCGTCTCGGAGCAGGCTCTCTTGCTCATGCTTACCGTGTGTTCGTCGCCTCCCGACCAGGCCGTCGGGTTCATCGCCTCTCGATCTACCCGCCTTGCCACCGTCGCTGCGGCGCCGGCGCGCCCAGCTGCCTCGCGCACGCCTACCGCGCCATTAACCCCCCTCCCCCTCCTCCAGACCCTGGAAGAGGTGGGGTGCGTCGCCCTGACCGAGAGCAGACAGGTGTCCCGCACCACGCTCTTCTCCAAGCGCCCCGATCTCGCCTGGTTCAAAGGTGAGACCCGCGCACCGCCACGCCACACCTTGCGGCGGGTGGAATACCGTACTCCTGGGCTCGTCGGATCTTGGTGTGGAAGTTGGATGTCCAACCGGGCTGGATTGTGCTGGAGGACCCTAAATAAGCCACCCGTGTTTCTGAACGCTGCCGCCTGCGTAAATGGACGCAGATGAAGCATCAGCGTCATGCCTGGCGTCTCTGCCGTCGCCATTGGTGCTTAACGACGCACCCAACGACACACTGCTGCTGAGACCGTATGAGGTCGCTTGCCTCTCACCCTGGCAGGAAGGCACCCATTTTCGCCCCTCCCCCCACCCCCCCCCTCCTCTGCATTGCACCGCGGCCGGTTTGGCTTTCGATTCCTAACTGCAGCGAGGCGGACTCCGTCCACCTCCAGCCCTCCCGGAACACGTGCCCGCGGCGCTGACGTGCCCGGGTCCTGCCGACGGCCCGTCGGCAGGACCCGCGGACGGCTGCAGCCCGCCCGACAGCGTGCTGGTGATGCCGGCTGCGGACGTCGTGTTCAAGTTCGCCTGCTTGTTCGGCGACAAGCCCTACAGCCACGAGTTCCTAGACACCGTCGGGCTGTAGTGAGCCGGGCCCGCAACCGCGGTGCGCTCCCGCGTCCGCGCCAGTACCGGCGCGCAGTACGTCCGCGTGAAGTCTCGCTGGCGGGCCGAGTCAGTGTGATGGTGACGATGGACAGCAGTCTTCGCGCTTTACGTGCCTATGTTTCTGTCCCAGGCCTCGGAGACTCGAGAGACGGACCAATAAAAAACGCATTTATTCGACTCCGCGAGTTCAATAAACTACAATAACTGAACGCGTGCTATGCACGCGGCTCCGGATTGCATGGTCCGGGTCGGCTCCCGGCAGACACGTGCCGGCTGTCCACAGACGCCACAGCGCGCCTCGAGCGGCACCTGCCATGCTGAGATGCGGGGGCCGGGCGCTACCCTGTCTCCCGCTCTCGCGAGCGCGACCAGACGGCTTTCACAGCCAATATCGGCCGGCCCAGCCCCCACCCGCCGCCACAGAATACTGGCACGAAGCCAAGCTTCCTCATGGAATGCCGCCGGCCACGAAATACGGTGTGCCGTCTTCGCGCTACCGGTGCGCAACGCCGCCACCCCGGTGCTCCGCCAGGCGCGGGCGCCGGTCGCCGGCGCGGGGTCCGGCCGCTGCCAACCCGCTAAGAACAAGCCGCCGGCCAGGCGCCCACTCCCGCCGGCTAACACAACGGAAACACTATCTACAGCTGCCACGACACGGCATGGCACGCGGCACGGTGGGGCGGCGCCGAGTCAGGCCGTCCCGGGCGCTAGTCCCAGTCCTCCGCGTCCATGGTGGCCGGCTGCTGGTTGTAGCCGGCCGCCGCGCCGCCCATGCCACCGACGCCGCCGCCGCACTGCGGGCGCACGAGCCAACAGTCAGTCAGATGCCGGGCGTCACCGGCCGGACGCACCGTGACCTGAGCCAATCACACCACTACACCAGGCTGGCGAGTTCGCATAAATAAGCACGGGACAACGCGGCTGGAGCACACCGGCGAAATCCAGATGTGGACACTCGCGTGCCCCAAACTGACAGTCGGAGCTTTCTCGTCAGAACGATACTGCAACGTAGTTTCCGTTGCAGTGTAGGAAATGTGCGTTACCTTATCGGCGACGTCGCCAATTCTGGGGCATCAAATGATTTCATGGGAGTAGAACTGAAATTGGGTAGAACTTGGCTTCCGCACACCAGTCGTTTCTCTCGTCTGATCATCTAGCGGCCGCCGTTCCACTTAAGAATTATCCTGGGTAAGGAGTAACTGACATAAGCAGAGACAGTGCACAATGTCGCAATGTTGCTCGCCACGAGAACCATGAATGCACCCTGTCGGTGCATTCCTCCCGCCACCCCGCGCCAATCACGTCCCCGACGCACCGGCCAGACTCGCCCCGCGCCGGATGTCGCGTGACGCGTACGAGCCGCCGGCAGCGCCGCCGAAGTCGGCGCTGCCGGCGTCGCGCTGCAGGAAGTCGGGCACCTCCTGCTCGGCGCCGGCCAGAATCTTCACCAGGTCGGCGGCCAGCGCGCTGTCGTAGAAGCCGATGGCGCTGCCGGTGTTGCCCACGCGGCCCGTGCGGCCGATCCGGTGCACGCAGTCGTCGATGGCCTTCGGCAGGTCGTAATTGACCACGCTGGCCACGCCCTTGATGTCTGGGGGAGGGGTGTCGGTTAGCCAGGGCTGCGCCGCGTCATGCAGATGCAGTGGGAACAGTATCCGGCATGTCGCAACAGTCTACTTACATGACCAACAAAATAAAAAATTACTACCAACGAATTAATCTCCGTTAAGCGTTGTGCTCATACAAACTGGATCAGGTTCACTGTTGGATCGGGGACTTTGCTTACCCCTGCTCACTTTCGTTCCGATCTTTTCTGACATTAACATGGATTAACTCCAAACGCAGGTACAATAATTACTCACGGAAGGGCACAACAGTTCGACCTCTGTTTGATGAAAATCTCGACGACGCCTGATCACGACGCGCCACACAACACGCCTGGCATCCAACCACGCAGCGTTCGCTTTCGGCCACGAGCGCACGAGCCCCGCCGACATGGATGGTCTCGGGGCGGCGGCCACTCACCGAGGCCGCGCGAGGCCACCGACGTGGCGATCAGCGTCGACGTCTTGCCGTACGTGAAGTCAGCCAGCGCCTCCTCGCGCTCGCGCTGCAGCCGGTCGCCGTGGATGCTGGTGGTCGGGAAGCCGGCCTGACACAGGTGCGACGCGATGAAGTCGGCCACCCGCTTCGCCTCCACGAACACCTGGCGGGAGGGGCAGGCGAGGGCAGACGGCGGCACGGTCACGCGGCGGCCGCGGCCTCACGGCTGAGGGTCGCCCATGGACCCGGTCCAGGTCGCGCTCGGTGCAGCAAAAGATAACGAGCGGTGGAAACATCACGGTTCGACTAGGCTTTAGCTTAAGGCTTCAGCTTATGAAGGTCATATGCATTATTAGAGGAGCCTGACCACAATCCGCGAATACATTTACTGAGCCTTAATGACAAGCTGAATACCCATCACTGCCGTTAACTAGCATTGGCGCTGGCTTGAAATCAACAGTGTTGAAGTTGTTCTGGTCTCACTCGCAGGATCTTAGCTCGGCTCATACATTACCTCACGACAGCGACGCGCGCGCGCGAGCGACCGGATTATCACTGCTCCGCGATTTCGGGCGCGAGTCAGCTGGTGATCCGTCAACTGATCTGACGGGTCACATGACCCGGCGCCGGGAGGCCTATATCACAATTGAAAATGTTGCAGTTATGTTATCAATTTTTCTTAATAAAGACAGAGACATGCCCATCATTAGAAGACATTACTAACGTCGGCGAATGGTGATAGCCATCGCCACCACCAGGTTCCCTCAGGTACCTGTAGTGAAATGAAGCACTGCTTAAAAACGCAAAACAGGGGAACCACAGAATAAACATGACTGCAAGCCGCGGATTTATTTTGCACTCACGACAATCATGCGGATGGTAAACTCCATTCACAGGCTCGGAATTAATTGCTGACGTCTAATTTAATTCACACGTCCAGTTAGGTAGTAAGGTGCAGCATGTTTGGAACAACTCATATCGTACTGTAAAGACCTTTGAGATACGAGAAAATTTGCATGCAAAAATGGGTGATAACCTCTTCCTTATAGGCTTAGGCACCGTTGTAAAACAATCATAGCCAGGTGCAGTACCTACAAGTAGTGTTCCTGAAGCTGTGTGCACGCTGCATGATACAAGGTTGTGTAGCCTAAAGGGCACTCTGCTGCCTGAACAAACCAATGGTTACCCTTTAGCAAGGTGCAGGATGGTACGCTTGACTGTTGGTAGGCCGGCCTTTCGCATCGCACGTCGCAGGATCATGTACGTGCTGCTGGACACCACCAGCTTGTTGCTTGTTGCCGATCGTCTGGAACATAACACACTGTGAAATAGAAATTGTAATAGACTGCAGATGTAGAGTTAATACCTATGACGATGACTGCAACAACTAAGGTGGGGACTTACTGGCAACTCTGCTCTGGCTTTAGAGCATAGGAGCAAACAAGCTGCATCAATGTTTTATACGGCATTGTCCACACAATACTACATGCAAATGTGCAATTTCACTAATTAGACAGATTTCAGGCTGCTAGTCCCTTTAGTCATCTAGGTGTTTCATGTAGTCCTTTAAGTCCCTGTAGATCTTACTAAGTTCCTTGTGTTTGGCACAATATGATCACTATAAGACAATGTCAGCATCAGATTTCAGGCTGCTAGTCCATTTAATCATCTAGGTGTTTCATGTAGTCCTTTAAGTCCCTGTAGGTCTTACTAAGTTCCTTGTGTTTGGCACGATATGATCATCATAAAACAATGTCAACATCAATAAGTATTGCAAATTTAATTATCTTTATGTCATCACTTAATGCAGTTTGTACTATGATTTTTGTAAAACAAATTTTAATATTCTTGTTCAAAAGTAAACTAATTTTCAAAATCAACCCAAAAAGAAAACACTCAGAGCCGGATTCTGGTCTTTGAGATGGTGTAGACACAGGAAACGCTGGGGTGCCTGGAACACATTCCCTGTGCTGAAAACAATTCAGGACATCAATGATCAGTATCAGAAAGATTGACAACGCACAAAGCTGTCACACGATGTACAGGTTATACGACAGCACTGCGACATGTGCGCCAAGTATAACACAAAACAGTGTTTTACTTGCATCATATAAATGTTGATATCAGAAATTACTGCAGCACACTGAAATGCATGAATGAATAATAACTGAAAGCGGACATGGCAATGAACGAGACAAAAGGTGATCACAGAAATGCCATGTGCGTTCTAATGTTGAATAAGTTCAAGCCTGAATGCCAAGGCTAAATATAACGTGTCTGACAAAAAAAAAAAAAATTGGCCGTCAGGCTGGAAAAGGGATGTGACGGAAAATGTGTCTGGCACACTCCATGCCACGTCTTTGGAACACTGATACCACATACATCAAGTCATTTCTGTTGGTGGCCTTGTTGAGCTGGGAATCTGAAAGAATCACAGTAATTGGGAAACTGGATTACTATACAATGCAATGGACATCTTCTACTTCAAATGAGTAATGCAAATTGAAATTATCTGCCCACAGGGTGTGCGTTGATCATTATGCTAAGTGGTGATTCATCAGGAGTACATCTGAGATGCCAAAAATGTCTGACTCATTTTGAAAGGCCCGTCATCCCAAAAATAAGTAATACAAGCTGAGGCCATGCACCCTTGAACTTTGCAAGCTGTGAGCATGGTGCATAGCTGTCACCAAATCTAGTTAATAGTAAGCAAATTTAGTGTTTTAAAAAAGTGGCAGCAGCATGGCAATACCCAAACAATGTCATGGCCAGAATATGACAGCTTGGAGCTCAGCCAAGTGCAAATCTGTTTACAGCACATAGAGTTCAGTGGTAAGTTGAGTACACTGATGATTCCTGTAAGTTGGAACAATGGAATAGTTTTTGACTGATATCCCTGATCCTTGCCTGACTGACAAAATTCACACTGTATTCACACTCGACCGGTCCGGAAATTATCCCCCGGATTAGTCCCCCATACGCCATCCACAGCTAACTGTCATAGCTATGCATGGCGAGAACAGATTCTTCGTCTTGACCATGCTCTGAAAGTTCTCCGGGATTCTCTGTCGCTACGGAAAATTACCGGACAAATTTCCGTGACGGCACTGCCGAACGCCATTCCGAAAAATTCCCAATATTCCGGATAATTTTACAAGAGTATCTGCCGGCCGGACGCGCCCCGCAAAAATGCAAAAATGCCTTCAAACGTGCCGGCAAAAATGCCTTCGAAAATTAAACAAGGTCTTTAAAAAGCAGATGCACGCGGCAGCTGAATAGCGGGTGCAATTGCTAGGAGCTGGTCTTACGGTTGCCACCAATTTCAGAAATAGATTTGTTTATGTACTTTATTGCCGCAAAAAACATACAAGATATTAATGTTGAGAGTAACTGACTGGGGCCAAGTATGGCATGTTGGCGGAGCACGTTGTATGACACATTGGCAAGTAGCTTTTAATAACATTTTTGAGTAAGTTCAAATACTTTTCCTTGTTTCCATCACTAGGTTATGGGCACCACATGACCAATGTAGTTGGCGCGCCCAAAAGCCCAAATCATCATCGTCATCATACTTGTTTCCATCTCCTACCTATCTCACCGCCATCATGGAGCTACACCTTGGCTATTTGATGTAACCACTTCTTAAACAGATGAATTACACATACTTGCATAAACTTGCATGAACAGTGTGAATTTTGTCAGTCAGGCAAGGATCAGGGATATCAGTCAAAAACTATTCCATTGTTCCAACTTACAGGAATCATCAGTGTACTCAACTTACCACTGAACTCTATGTGCTGTAAACAGATTTGCACGTGGCTGAGCTCCAAGCTGTCATATTCTGGCCACGACATTGTTTGGGTATTGCCATGCTGCTGCCACTTTTTTAAAACACTAAATTTGCTTACTATTAACTAGATTTGGTGACAGCTATGCACCATGCTCACAGCTTGCAAAGTTCAAGGGTGCATGGCCTCAGCTTGTATTACTTATTTTTGGGATGACGGGCCTTTCAAAATGAGTCAGACATTTTTGGCATCTCAGATGTACTCCTGATGAATCACCACTTAGCATAATGATCAACGCACACCCTGTGGGCAGATAATTTCAATTTGCATTACTCATTTGAAGTAGAAGATGTCCATTGCATTGTATAGTAATCCAGTTTCCCAATTACTGTGATTCTTTCAGATTCCCAGCTCAACAAGGCCACCAACAGAAATGACTTGATGTATGTGGTATCAGTGTTCCAAAGACGTGGCATGGAGTGTGCCAGACACATTTTCCGTCACATCCCTTTTCCAGCCTGACGGCCAATTTTTTTTTTTTTTGTCAGACACGTTATATTTAGCCTTGGCATTCAGGCTTGAACTTATTCAACATTAGAACGCACATGGCATTTCTGTGATCACCTTTTGTCTCGTTCATTGCCATGTCCGCTTTCAGTTATTATTCATTCATGCATTTCAGTGTGCTGCAGTAATTTCTGATATCAACATTTATATGATGCAAGTAAAACACTGTTTTGTGTTATACTTGGCGCACATGTCGCAGTGCTGTCGTATAACCTGTACATCGTGTGACAGCTTTGTGCGTTGTCAATCTTTCTGATACTGATCATTGATGTCCTGAATTGTTTTCAGCACAGGGAATGTGTTCCAGGCACCCCAGCGTTTCCTGTGTCTACACCATTTCAAAGTCCAGAATCCGGGTCTGAGTTTATGCAAGTTTATGCAAGTATGTGTAATTCATCTGTTTAAGAAGTGGTTACATCAAATAGCCAAGGTGTAGCTCCATGATGGCGGTGAGATAGGTAGGAGATGGAAACAAGTATGATGACGATGATGATTTGGGCTTTCGGGCGCGCCAACTACATTGGTCATGTGGTGCCCATAACCTAGTGATTGAAACAAGCAAAAGTATTTGAACTTACTCAAAAATGTTATTAAAAGCTACTTGCCAATGTGCCATACAATGTCCTCTACCAACATGCCATACTTGGCCCTAGTCAGTTACTCTTAACATTAATATCTTGCATGTTTTTTGCGGCAATAAAGTACATAAACAAAACTATTTCTGAAATTGGTGGCAACCGTAAGACCAGCTCCTAGCAATTGCACCCGCTATTCAGCTGCCGCGTGCATCTGCTTTTTAAAGACCTTGTTTTATTTTCGAAGGCATTTTTGCCGGCATGTTTGAAGGCATTTTTGCCTTTTTTGCGGGGCGCGTCCGGCCGGCAGATACTCTTGTAAAATTATCCGGAATATTGGGAATTTTTCGGAATGGCGTTCGGCAGTGCCGTCACGGAAATTTGTCCGGTAATTTTCCGTAGCGACAGAGAATCCCGGAGAACTTTCAGAGCATGGTCAAGACGAAGAATCTGTTTTCGCCATGCATGGCTATGACAGTTAGCTGTGGATGGCGTATGGGGGACTTATCCGGGGGATAATTTCCGGACCGGTCGAGTGCAAATGGAAAATTTCCATGGAGGATTATCGAAGAGATTACTATTCGTTCAGCAATTTTCCCTTAGCCGAACACGCCCGTGATTGCATACTCATTCCTCAAACTGAGAACAGTGGAAAGCGACCGCACACCACATTCGAGGCTGCGTGCCATATTGAGACGTGCATACCCTGAACTTATTGCTGAGATGTCAGTGATACACCAGACATATTCGGCGTGAAGTGTTTTTAACACATTGGGAGCGAGGTACTTACGCGAACAGTCAAATCATTTTCTTTTCTCCTGCGATCACTGCACACACACCACCCCATGTTCCGCATCCCCCACCGATACAAACAGGACACTGGCTGGGCGTGGGAGAAAATGCCCCGTCGACAAATGCCGCACAAGCCGAAATTGCTCACGATTATGTTCGCGATACACATTCAGCAGTACAATCTTAATAACAGCCAATCACCTTTCGCGTATTGTAACACATGTGCAGCATCATCGCCTTTGCGAATGAGTCAGCCCCCATACGGTTTTTATCATAAACGAAATATGAACAAGCAAACAACCAATAATATCACGGATATCTAGTGACGTTTCTATTGCGTCATTAATCACAAGGCGATTTTGAAATAGGGGAACTATAAGGATTTTGACAGTTTGCGGCCGTGTAACTCCGGAACCAAATCGTTTTTGGTCTTAAAAATAGTATGACCGTAAACTGCATCAAAAGGTCGTCAAGATGACTGTTTCAGTTCAAAACGCCATACAAATGTGGAACATTCCCTTGTGGAAAAACAATTAACACCTTGTTCTCTCGCGGGGTCACGGCGCACGGGAGGGCTCACGCCTTAAAGTCTGAGGCACTGTCACAGCTTATCCACGTCATGCCAGTTCTCGAAAAGCCAACATCGCAGCAAATAAAACAAAGAGAAACGTTGATGTTCCACTTTTTCTGGACAAGGCAGATGGGATGGAACGGTCTACAGTTGAAAACGGCTGGCAGTGCGGAAGCCTCAAGCTTCCAGACGTGAGCGTTCAGGCGTACAGCCTTAAGATGGCGTGGGTAAGGCGAGTGCCCGACAAGGGATGTAGAAGCAAGTGGAAGGCTGTAGCGTGAGCGATAGTGTTTGAGGATAACGAGGGCACAATATTCAACTGTGATGGCGACCTCTATGATGCGCGAGTTCCACAAAGACAAATTTTGGTTCCAGGCAGTAGCCGTCTGGAACAAATTAAGCCTCATGGAGAAGCCATCGGGTAGCGAGGTATCATCCAAACCAATCTGGTTCAACAAACACATGCACCTTGAAGGCAACAATAACTTTCAAAGACAGACTCTAATCGGGCATGGCGTTTGTTCTTAGGGTGGCCGACTTGTATGACCTTGGGCGGTGAAGGCTAAAAGATGGAACTGAGCTTCGGTCCCAACATATCTTAGGAAACTTTCTTCTGAGGCATGCTTTGTTATCAAAGTTACCCGGAGAATGGAGAACAATGCTTTTACGAGGCAGATCATAGATATCAAACTTGCCGGCTTGTTTTGAGCAGATTATGAAGGCACCGAAAAGCACAAAGTGGTCTTACGGCATCTTGACAAAACATTACATTAGGTTCTCCTGAAAAGGCGCAAAGAAAATGGAGAGGTTACCTTAATATCAAAGAGACATTTCATTGGAGCCATATATTTTCAAGCGTGTATAAAAGCAGGAAGGATTTTAAGTTGAGGTGGCTTCAATTCCACATTTTACACCGCATACTACCAACGAACAGCCGCCTGGCTTGGTACGGGATACGCGACTCGAGTGAGTGTGAGTAATGTATTGTACGGAGCGAGACCATTTCGCACATGTTTGGTACTGTCTTGAGGTTAGAAGGCTTTGGAGTCGACCTACAGCGAGTCTTGCAGATCCAACTTACCATGCAGTCTGTGGTCCTGGTTCGCCGCGAGGGCAATCGGTCCCTGCACTCGGGAACGGTGTTTATGAGCATTATTTTGGGTAAATCCTACATATGGCTATGTAGGATCTCGGGTTCTTGCTCCGAGCTGCGGGTTTTTTAACTTCAGCATTTCACTCCATAAGAGTTGAAAATATATAGCTACGGTCATAAACGGGCTTCTTGGTGACATCATTGTCTGTCTCTTCGTGGTCCATGGAAAGGCAGAGTAACTGGCCGTCGTGGGGAAAGGAAGAGTAGAAGGGCAGGGTGAGGAGAGGTGAGTGGGGTTAGAGAAGGGAAGTTGGGAAGGGCCTGTCGCACTGAGGCAACAAGCGAGCATTAATACCAGTGAATTGTTTCACACCCTAGGGCAATTCGCGTCGTCAACCATCTGTGCGACTGCATAGTATATGCCAATGTAGCTGCCATTAAGTGTGGGTGTCGTAACAGTGCAATCTGCAGGAAAAACAACAGCATTGGTAACGGGAATTCCATGTGTTGTTAATTGGATCTCATGTGTTATCAATATGCTGTTAATTCGATTGTTGACTGCCCATGTGTTGTAAATGTGCCAAAGCTCGCTGTTTATTTGTGTGTATGATATTGAAATGGGTAATAAATTAATAAGTAATACAAAAAACTATGTGTCCACCGTGGAGTTTCGAGCTTTTTTAAAATCATATTTCTTCTAAGCCGTCTAGCATCACAATTAATCATTCCATAATCATTAAGTCAATCAAGCACTTATTACTTCAGTTCATGTTCAGGGTAGCATACCTGTAACTCCTCCTCTAAAGCTTTTATCTCTTTCTTTGGAGAATATTTCAGGCCTTTTTCTTCTGCTCCAATTGAAGATTCACAAGTTGTTCTCTATACCTTTTCGTAAAACCCTCTTTCCTAACTGCTTGAAAGTGCAATTTTATGTCTGTCGATCCTGGCAAAATACTTTTTTATGCATGTTTTGTTGAAAACGATTGCTGAATCTGCACTGACGAGCTTTTTCATGAGTCGTTCCAGTTTCCGGACTTAGCAGTATCGCTGTGCTAAAAGCTAGTTTGTGCAAAATTACTTATATATTCGGCAACCTGTACATTCTCACGTTTTGCGATCTTATCTCATCGTCGGAACAATATAAATGACACAAGTGATACGCTTCGAGTCTTTAAGAATGGGGCTTGTGCACCACTGTCTTGGGAACATCTTTCAGTACAGAGATGACAAGTGACGTAAAACCAAATTGAAATAAGAAAAACCCCAGTGTTACTGTGATGCATATGAAATGAACCCAAAATGGAAACAAAGCGGACACATAGCCCTAACCACATCCATAGTACCCACCGCCCACCACCTAATAACTAAAGGGTTGAGCAAGAATGTGTTTGTTTGCTCAGGGCTGGGGGGAGTTGATTAATAAATATGCTTCCCCAAATTTGAAGGCGCCTTCTGTCATTGCACGTCTGATAAATGTCAGTGTTTTCCGCCAAATGCTGTCGTGTCAATGTCCTGCTATGTTCGTGTTGCACGTTTTCCAGAGTTGCGTCGTCACGTAAACGCATTGTCAGGCATCGTGAAAGTGTCGTGGTTTTGCCAATATGGTGCATGTAGCGAAGTTTGCCATGGGTGTCGATTTCTCAAAATGATTGGCGAGGCTAGATTCGTGTAAGTCGTCATAAGAAAACACGTCTAAAAGCTTTTCGGATTTCGGGCCTTACTTCTGGTTATTTCTTTTATGTATAGACATGTATATATATATATATATATATATATATATATATATATATATAGTGAATAACTTGCTGGCTGTAATATAAACGTACATGTCTTCTCAATAGCTATAATGTATACTTGCATGCCTTTTTAACGTTCATGTGCGTAGCCTCAACAGTTATACATGGACGCCTCGCAGATTGCATCAGTTTCTTATGAAGGCGCCTGTTTTGTGAAGCTGAAGAGGCACATTTGCAGCTCTCCCTCTCCCGCATACCGAAGGACTTAAGATTTGCATAAGTTGTCATTATGTGCTAAGTAATTGCTTGGGTATTTATTTATCGCTTCACAAGAAAAGAGCGCACTGCCCACAATTAATTTGGCTGTCACAACCCAATTGCTTGTGGGTTTTCGACACACCAAAATTTCATCGGTGACACATGCATTTCAGTTGATTTAATCCGGCATTGAGCGGGGGGGGGGATAAATCGTCCCCCTGCCAATTATTCGCGATAATTTAAAAATGCCTTGAAAATTCGCTGCTAAGTCTTAAGAGACTGTTAATTGATGAGCACCACCCCCCAGCCAAAAAATAACTGAGACCATAATAGCGCGAGCGCAAGTCTCGTCATAGTGCAATCATGTTTGCTCATTTTTGACGAAAACACATGACCGTAGACAAATTAACACAGAAGCCGAACGAAAGAGCATTTTATAATTGCGCATTCAAGTCTTCTTCTCCAGGAAATTATCACTAGGGCTTTAACATAAAACCTTCTTCTACGTAAACTTACTAAATATGGTGTGCAACGAAAATCTCACGAAATCCCTTCTTCTTATTTGTCTGGCAAAATTCAGTATGTTAAAATCAAGAGTTATCCATCATCATTCAAAAACGTAACGATGGATGTTCCCCGAGGATCAGCTCTTGGCCTAATTCTGTTCGTATTGTACACAAATGACTTGCCTAAATTAAGCAGTAACATGATTTGCCTCTCTTACGTTGAGCATACAGCGATTATCTTCAAACATAAAAGTAATGGGAAGCCTCAAAACAGTGTCAATGCACTTCTGCTTCTAATGGCTTCATGGTTTAGTGCTATTTTTCTTTCACTCGATGTACCAAAAACATTTACATAGCATTACTCTACCATTTCTTCGCATTTCTAACCAAATGTATAAACTAACAGTTCACTCATTGAAGAGAAAAAAGTAATCAAATACCTTGGTGTGCTCATTGACCACTCTCTTAAATTTACCTGTCATATTAATCTTGTTGCAAGCATATGATAAGCAAGATTAGGCACTTCATTGATAAAACAGCGTCACATCCAGTCTATACCACATTAATTATTCCTTATCTAAATTATTACTACTTGACTTGGGGTGTAAATTATGATTCTTACCAGCTCGGTTAGTAATTTTGCGAATAATGGCTGTGCGTCTGATAGAAAACGTGTACCCTCCACAAAACTCCGAGCCAATCTTTAAACGATACAACATTTTGAAATTATCGTATATCGCTAAATCCCAAACGTTACCGGTGATGCACAAATTTTTAACTTCACAGCCTCCTGCACCATTCGATTCAGTGTACAGGCTCTACGAATCAAAGAAAATGTGATATTATGCGAGTAAAACACTTCGACAACCCTTTCACTAATTGTGATTATAAACTATTTACGACACCGTGCATTGGCCCTA